TAGATCTTTCATCTATTTTGAGTTTATCTTTGTGTATGGTGCAAGAGAGGACAAACAGTGTATGTTCTCATTCATTTGGGGAATATGAATAATAGCGAAAGGGAATATAAGGGAAGGGAGAAGAAATGTGTGAGAAATATCAGAAAGGGAGACAGAACATAAAGACTTCTAACTCTGGGAAATGAACTAGGGGTGGTGGAGGGGGAGGAGGGTGGGGGGTGGGGGTGAATGGGTGACGGGCACTGAGGGGTACACTTGACGGGATGAGCACTGGGTGTTATTCTGTATGTTGGTAAATTGAACACCAATAAAAATTAATTTATAAAAAAAAAAATAAAATGCGAATCTCAACAAATATCACTTCTCTAGTTAGTGTCTTTTAACAGCACCCAATTTCCAGTCAGACAACCTGGCAGACAAGGCCCTTTATTATCCTTTCTAAGGTATAAAATAAAATCTCTCATTTGGCAGTCTCAAAGAGCCTCACTACCTCTTGTCAAACATTTGTGTTGTACTATCTCCTCTTAAAGATTGTGAATATACTATTCCATCTACCTCTCTTGCTAAATTCTCAGTTCTGACCTCACTTAGACCCATAAACCCTGAAAGAACTCATCATTAGTCCAATAAGTGGTCCCTCACCATATATGAAGGAATTATATACCCCTTTAACACAACATTTATTTCATCATAATTTACCACAGTTTTACAGTAGTATCATCGGTTTCCCCCTGCTTATTAATAGTAATAGAAGGACTGGGTCTTGCTCATGTTATATCCATATAATCCAGCAGAATGCCCGTCATATAAAAGGCTCTCATTAAATAAGGAAGAGAGTGAAAGACAAAAGGCTGATCTAGCATTCAAATACTACACGAGGCCCCAAAGTAAATGCATAAAAATTAAAATAGGTTTACTTTTTACAATCAAACACAGATAATATATGAACTAAAAATAACTAGCCTTTCTTTTACAGGCTGGAAAAAAGAAAACGTGAGTTCTAACCCTGGTTTTGGGAGTACCCATACCTTGACCAAGAATATCTTGACCAAGAATAACAAAGATGAAAATAATTCAGCCAGTATCAGCTGAACACCTAGAATGTGTCAGAGGTTTTAGTCTAAGCACTATGCAAATCTGATGTTATATAATATTCATAACAATTCTATGAGGTAGGAATTACTTGTGTATACATTTTAAAGATAAGAAAAATGAGGCACAAAGAGGCTAAGGACATTCCATAGTAACACAAAGTTAGTGTGTTACATAGTGACACACTAAGATAGTTACATAGTGACATAGTTACAAAGTGACAAAGTCAGGCAGTCAGTTTCCAGACACCTGCTTGTAATTACTCTGAATGAGTGTTTACTTGCTTTTCCCATAAATTCTTAATTTGAAAAAAAAAAAAGAGAAAGGTATGCCCGCACATGTGCACACACACACACATACCCACAAAGGCTAAACTATTTCTAAGGAAACATCCAGCTGTTATTTTTGTAAATTAAGTTTACTAACTTCAAATTTCAAATGGCATCTAATAAAATATGATTAGAGAAACAAGTGTGAGATCACTGTTTCTACACTTTATGTGATTTTACCTAATGGTCACAACCCCTCTCAGTGTTTGGTTTTTAAATGGCTTTCATCATACAGAACTGCTTCTGATCTTCAAAATATCCTGAGGTAATCTTGGATTGCTCTTCACCCAGTGTTCCCAATTGATGAACACAGAATGTCCTTCCACTTATATAGGTTATTTCTAATTATTTCACCCCAGTTTTGTAGTTTTTAGTGGATAAACCTCTCACCCTCTGGGTTAAATTCACTGCCAGGTATTTTGTTCTTTAAGATGCTAATGTAAAGCGAATTGCTTTCTTTTGTTTTCTTTTTTTTGAAGAGTTTATTTATATGAGAGAGAGAGAAATCAGGAGGAGGGAGGGGTTGAGGGAGAAGCAGGGAGGTCGGATTTGGGGCTCAATCCGGACCCTGGGACCATGATCTGAGCTGAAGGCAAACACTTAACTGACTGAGCCACCCAGGCACCCCTGAAGTGCTTTCTTAATTTCTTTTTTGAATATTCATTGAGAGTATACAGAAACACAAATGACTTTGTTTGTTGATCTTTTAACCTACCACTGTGCTGAATTCATTTATTAGCTCAAAAAATGGCTATTTTTTGACAACGCACTATTAGAAAAAGAAAGTTCAGCAATGAATTCACAAGAAAAATATAATTCATAAAAATCGAGTTATAGGTAACAGGAAAAGATAAAAAATTTGAGGACTTGCAGGAATAACCACCTTCCCAACCCCAACTTATAAAAGAGAAAATGGAGGCCTTTGAAGCAACAAAGACCAGCTCAATTCAACCCTACAGCAATTAGTAAACCAAGTATATGTTAGCACACCCACTGTTGAAGATTCAATCAATTCAAATGTCTCCAAGCACAGACCCAATAAGGCTGTGACTGCCCTGTACATACCTTCACTTGGAACATTTTGGAAAAAGGAGACTGCTGGAGTTTCTTCAACCCAGGTTTGATAAATGAAGTTATTTTTAATCAGAAAAAGAGTAAGACACAGACAAATAGGCTAATAAATATAGGGGTGAAAAGCATATAAATATATTAAAGGTAGGCAATAGATCTATAAAATAACTGTGAGTGTGCCTTTGACAAATGGAGCTGATTGTAATCAAACAGATAAGGAGCCAAAAGAACCATTACCCTGAACTGTCACTGTATGCTATCTAAAATGACCCATGCCAGGGTACCTGGGTGGCTCAGTTGGTTAAGCATCTGTTTTCAGCTCAGGTCTTGATCTCTGAGTCCTGGGATGGAGCCCTGTCGAGTTCTCTGCTCAGAGAAGAGTCTACCTCTCCCTCTGCCCTTCCTTCCTGCTCTTGTGCTCTCTCTCTCTCTCTCTCAAATAAATAAACATTTTTAAATAAAAAAATAAAATGACCCATGAATCCCAATTTTTTATAATAAAAAGCAGTCTGAGAAATGGTATAATCACCAATACTCAGATATAGCCAACAAAGATACTGAAAAATTTAAAATCTATATGATCATAAAGAACAATGGACTAGAAAACCTGTGCCTAAACCCTAAACAGAAAATCATGGTCAATCAAAGAGCAATCCTATCTGCATAATAGAGATCTTACTTAATCTGTCCACTGAGATTTTAGAATTGTTACATACTAATAATAGCTGTGCTTCTCTGATTCTTCATTCTTCCTACAAAGAGCATTTATAGTAAATACCTTTATATTGCCACTGTAGACCAAATATGTTGAAGGTAAACAACATATATTTTAGTTTCTAGTTCTTTAGGTCAAAGAGGCCTACATATCTGGACTTGATAATGTAGAGACATCATTCCCTATCTATTATCTAAACATCCTGGACTTTTGAACTTGAGGCCATAGCTGGTCAGAACTTTCAGATTTTCTCCTAAGGAGACAGGGTAAGTAAATTTGCCTGTAAGATGGAGACTGGGAATATTTGGCAACCATAAGAGCCAACTGTGGTATAACTAGTGCTGCTAACCAAGTATTTCCTGCTTTTTCCCCTCCGGATTCATAGTAGGATCTCACTAGCTGGCCCCATTATGTTGAAGTGAAGTACTATGGATAAAAACTGAGAGTCAAAGTGCCATTTCCACTCCAGAATATTGAATTACTAGAAGCAAAAGACTGGGGTTCTTTTCACTCTGCAATGATAACAGGTAATGTTCCACAAAGGAACTACTAGGGTAAGGACAACATAGCACCAATCCCCAAGACAACCCTCAGTGTATACGTAGCATGAGTAAGATATAAATCTTTGCTGTCTGAAGCCAGAGAGTTTAGGGTATAACCTGGCTCATCTTGGCCAATATATGCTTTCTGCTGTTTCACAGTTCTGTGACCTTAGTTTATCTCTGTGATTCCTCTGTCCATTTACAAAGTCATACACTTCATACCTCTGATGACTTAGTATTTCACCACCCAAAAGAATATAATTGTTGTATTAAACTTGTAAAATTGCCTGTGTATTTCCTCTCTCAAGCCATTTATTAAAACGACACTGAAAAAATTTAATAGAATTGACCCCAATCTCAGGGATGGGGTAGCATATTTATAAGTCTCCATTTAAATTCTACCCCTAACTCTGTTTTCCAAATTCTTAGTGTATTTTCTTCCCATAATATAAAAGAGCTCCCTTAAATAAAGCTGGTTTTGAGGCTCCTGGGTGGCTGAATTGGTTAAGTGTCTGCCTCCAGTTCAGGTCATGACCTTGGGGCTCCTGGGCATTGGGGTCTCTGCTCAAAGGGGGGGGTCTGGTCCAATCCTCACTCTCCCTCTGTGTGTGTGCTTGTTCTCTCTCTCTCAAATAAATAAATTCATAAATAAATGAATAAATCTTATTGTATTATCACCTACCAAATTTCATGTTATTGAAAAGTATTTCTGAGAATATATTACTTATAGAACACCTCCACAAATGTCCTTCAATTGCTTGTTCAATGTAAATAAGTGAATAATGTTTTTAACGGCTTCTAAGACATTAAATCAAGAAGAGAAACAAAAAATTCAAATAGAAACCAGTGCCTATATGTGATGAAAAGTAACTCAAACATGAGTAAGTGCCTTTAAAAATTTAAATATTATTTATAAGTCTTAGACTCCTAAAACTCATTTCCCATGCCCTAATACACTCATAGTCATCTCTTTGCCTCTGTTATTTGTTGAATAATATTATAAGTGAGAAATTAACATAAGAATCATCATTAATTTGTGGGAGATCCAGGCATTTTAGGCCTTTAGCTCTATTTTTAGTCTTTTATAAATCTCCCAAGCTTTAACATTAAGTTTACACAAGCATATTTTTTTTCTCCAAAATCCACCAGGGAAAGTAAATGGCACGAAACTGAATAAACAGTTATAGAGCTCTCAGGGGAGGAGAGTTAGAAGAAAAGTGTCAATATATAATGGATGTGCAATTTTATTACCTGAGTATTTAACAGCTCTTCACACTTGTGTGCTTGTTTCTCAATTGCAGAAATGTACTGTTTTTCAATAGCTTCTACTTGCTGCTTAACTGAAGACTGTAGTAGTGCCTAAAAACAAGCACAAAAAGTCATTGGGATCACAGAGTCTACTGTTGGCATAAGGATTTTTTTTTTGACAGTTTTACGTATCTTAAATAGGATACTCTTCAGCATTACAAAACACACGTGTGAATATTGAAAACATTCATATATAACCTACTTGAAGCTTTCAGTTTTAGGTTTTCCTATTGCCAACACTACAGCTTTTTGGCTCAGATGTTACTTCTACACACCTTCTCCTTAAAAAAGGCCAAGTCATAGAAAATGATAAAGAGGGTGAGTAGTTCTGTTAAATATAAATTCAGTTTACTGAAGACCACACAGGATGAAGAGTGTATGAAAGCTGCTGAAAAGAAAAAAAAAAAAGAAAGAAAGAAAGAAAAAAAAACAGACATATTTCACTGGCTGACAAAACTCCACATCCTCTCGGCACACTGTAATGTCCCATGGGCCAAGCATGATCTTCAAGACCACAAGTCAAGTAAAAGCAGATGGAAACTCTGAGCAATTTCATACATAAAAGAACTGCCCCCCAGGAAGTTCACACCCCTAATATAAAAAGGTAGAAGTCAAAGTGTGGAAGTCAGAATCTCAAGGCAGTATTCATAAAAAGTAATAAAACTTGGGAGACTGGACAAACTGAAGTGGGTAGTGTAAATGCTGGAACCTGAGTCAGTTAAATATAAGGACATTAACACTGTTCTAAGGGAAGCCAAATCAGCCAAATCAGCATTTGAAGATGTTCCACCCACTTCCTTATTGGAAATGCTTAGAATATTATCATCTTTTTTCTCCCCTTTTTATTAAAGCATTATATGTTATACTTAACATGTTCCCAATATTATATTACATGCTATTTATAAATCCTAAATCATTCTAAAATATGTACTCAACCATACACATAAGAATTCTTTAGCAAACATTCTATTTTTGAAGGTCTATCTGGATAATAAACTACTCATAATCAAAATAGTAAGTTGAAACAGACACATGTCTTATAGAAAACAGACCTTTGGCACATGCACCAAGAAAAGAAAAATAAGCCAAATCTCTTAAATAATCTCTGTTTGAAAATAGATTTACTTGGTTGGAAACAACATGCATTAAGGAACTAAATAAATATGCACATATTTTTAAAAACTGAGACAAAAATATTTTTTTAAACCTCCGGACAAGTCTCAAATTTTCAGATAATTAACCTTGTTTTGCAAATGTTAAACTGTCTGATGATGCTACCACTCCTATAATTCAATAGTTGTCACTCTGAAGTTGCATAATTATTAGCCAATTAGTAAAGGAAAACAAAACTCTGAGCGAAATTTTTAACTAAAATTTAAAGAAGTGCTTAATAGAACTGCCTCAGCCCTTCATTTACACATTATATATCCTCTAAAGATTCCATAACTGTTGGCAAATTGAATTTAAATAAAATAAAATATAAAAAATAAAAATAATAATAAAGATTCTACAATGATTAATTTATGTAAGGCTTCAAAATTTAACCTCTTAAACCATGGCTAGCTAATGTAAAATTATAATTTAACTTTGGCAAAATATACTGTTTGTTGGACCTTGGAAAATTTAAAGAACATCATAGTTATAGATAATTCTCTTGGGTATATTCACAACATCTTCTGTAGATAGAAAAAATGCCATTCTTTTTTGGGACTTGGATATGACAAAATTGTTTTGCTTAATGGAAAGGACTTTTCACTTCCCTATTGGCCATGGTTTCAAATAATCACACAGTTTAAATACCCAGCTTCAGTAGATTATATAGATTTTCAGTAGATTATATCCTTTGGAGGAACAGGTGACTTAATGAACTAAAACTTTTTTTCATCATAATTAAGAAACACAGTGGAAGGATGTCTGGGTGCTCAGTTGTTAAGCTTCCAGCTCTTGGTTTCTGCTCTGGTCATGAGCTCAGGGTGGTAAGATCAAGCCTCTGTGTTGAGCCCTGCACTCAGAGCTGAGATCTGAGATCGCCTGAGATTCTCTCCCTTCCCCTCCCCATCTCCCCTTCTCCCTATTTGCACATGTGTGCTCTCAATCTCTCTAAAATAAATAAATAAAATCTTAAAAAAAAAAAAAGAAACACAATGGAATATTTTTTCCTAGTGATTGATTTGTATACCATATACTCAATTTCTTCCAAACTTCAAGAAGATAAGCACTATAGAATAATGAGTCAACAGTCAAAGCTGTGGTTATGGAACATGGTGAAAAGCTATGCAGAAGTAACCAGCCTTCTTATTGTTCAAACCTCTCATCTTAGCACCACTCAGTTACTTAAATCCACCCATCCACAAAAGGGACATGAAGGTAGGTACTAAGAATACAAAGATTAAAAAAAAAAAAAAAGTCTTTCCTCATTGAGTTCAGTCTGTTGTTGAAGAGAAACATTCTCTAGATAACCACATACCCTAGGTCTATGCAAGGTATGTATCAAAGAATATACGCCCGAAGTCTGTCTGTAAGGCTCACTGTTATATGTAAAGAATATTAAATAGGTAAGAATAGCTGGAGTTAAGAGTGGAGGCAGGATGGTACTAAAACAAGCACATGTCAAATATTTAAAAAACCTTGTATGCAGTAAGAAGATTGTTTAAAATGTAGCCTACTACTATTGAACATTGTAATATTAGTGTCACAGTCGAAATAAAAGAGGTAACTTCCCAACACTTTCTTTAGAACTACAGTATTAATCATTATGGACACGCTACAAACACAAATTGATACTAGCCATTACTTTTACAGTGATTTCTATCATTATAAAACTGGATACTTATTTTCCAATGTAATATACCACAATAATTGCTTTTAAAACTTTCTTGTGTATTTTAAGTATAAAGATGAACGTTAATTTTAAAATTTCCCTGCAATTTATTTTTTCCTCTGTAATTATGTCCACAAATATCAAAGATACAAGAAACAACACTAAAAGAAGTACCTGAAATAATTTTTCCTTTACAAACAATTTTAAACTACCCTCAACAAATATAAAAAGCATTAAGTCCCTCATAGTATGTAGAGGCAGAAAAACAAAGATGTATACAAACATCCTGTAATGAAAAATGCTATTAAAGGCACGGAAAATTTTATTAATCTTTAACACATTTAGGTTTTAGCCTCAGTTCTATCAGGTATAGTCTGTGCCAGCCCAGGGGATTTAACTCACTGAGCTTAGGAAAACTAATGACCATATTTCTTTTAAGAAGAATTTGAAATATGCAAACAAGATTGTAGGTTTAACTTACTCATCTTTGTGTATCATACACAGCTTTCTACAAAGTTCCTTGTACACACCAGACACAGGCAACAGCTGTTTGATGAACGATGATTCTTGGATTAAGATTAGTATTTTTAAAAATCACTAAATTCTACCCCTGAAACTAATATTACACTATATTGTAACTAACTAGAATTTAAATAAAATCCTGAATGAAAAAAATAAAAGATCATAGAATGAATAGCACCAATACTCATCGGAAAGCTCACTAAGCTTCAAAGTATAATTACAAAGTCCATTTATTAAATTTGTTGCTAAGTACATTTAATCTCTACCAGGGATTTCAATTTTTTAAGTTATTATTTTAGACTAGAAATGTCCATCCTTTCTATCCCATAGGGCAAATTTTGAATAAATTGAGTGTGCAAAGGACTACAGAGTCTTTGCAAGGAAAAGTATGTTATAAATTCTACAATTACTAGATTCACAGAAAACAAATATACGAAGTCAAAACTACCCCACCCTATTATTCATAAGCAGTACTATATTTATATAGTATGCTATATATATATATATATATATATATAGTAAAGATTTTATTTATTCACGAGACACACACAGAGAGAGGGAGAGAGGGAGAGAGAGTGAGAGAGAGAGAGAGAGAGAGAGAGAGAGAGAGAGAAACACAGGCAGAGGGAGAAGCAGGCTCCCTGCAAGGAGCCTGATGTGGGGACTCTGGGATCACTCCCTAAGCCGAAGGCAGACGCTCAACCACTGAGCCACTCAGGTGTCCCAGATATATATTTTTAATGGAATTAAACGTATGCTGGAATTTAAAAGAACTATAGCCTAAATATTCTGCTACAATCTAAACTAGAGTCCACTGTCTCAACAAATCCAGTTTTTCTTCTCCTTTGAAATAGCTCAATTCTTATAGATTTGATCCAGCCTCATCAAATTAAACAACTTGTCCAGATTTGCAAAGCAGATGTGTCTAAAGAACCAGATGGTCTTCAAAACATTAATATCATGTTGGTATTTAGCATGTAACCTCAAAGAACATGTTGTAGCTTATTTTAAGTAACAATAATTAGAGGATTTTTAAAAGCCACCCCCCAAATTTTCTGTATCAATCCTCTGACTCATACTGTAAAATGGAGAAAGGTATACAGCTGTGGAGCAAGCTATAAGCAAGGCATAGAATAAATAGCCCCTCTAAAATTTAAGCCCTAGAAGAATAAGAATCTTTAATTCACTGTTGTACCTACCCAAAACATCTGCAATCTTACCTAACACACAGAAGACATTAAACAAACAAATATGTGTTGAATGGACTGAGGAAACCAACCATGATTTTGGCATGTCCAAGCCTGATTATTTGTCTCTTCATAGAGGACTATGAAGTCTTTGATGTTAATGATGTCCATAATTATATTCTTAGTTCAGCTTTTTGACTACAGTAGTACAAATTAATTGTTGTAAAGGGTCATTCGAAATCAAGCACAATTTTACCTTTCTTGAAAAAATACCAGTTTGCATTTCAAAAATTTATTTCAGATCTTTTCCAATTTTTAATTAAAATAAGCAAAACTAAAACGTATCTGCAAAATGAGTAAGTTAAAACACTGAATGGATACTCTCACTTTTTTTTCTATTGAAGTGCTCTTTTTAAGCAAAATATTACTTTAAATTTTACAAGGCTGTTAAACTATTAACATGTCTTATAATACAACCTCAACTTCTCTAACATATTGCAAGCAAGTTTGTTATTCAAAAG